GGGACGTCAGGTGATCAGTGTCGGGGGGGGACTGAGGGGACGTCAGGTGACCGAGGGGGGACTGAGGGTCTGTCAGATGATCAGTGGGGGGGGAAAAGGGTCTTTCAGGTGATCAGTGGGGGGGAAAAGGGTCTTTCAGGTGATTGGGGGGGAACTAAGGGGACGTCAGGTGATCAGTGGGGGGGGGGGGGACTGAGGGTCTGTCTGGTGATCAGTGGGGTAGGACTGAGGGACGTCAGGTGATCAGTGTTGGGGGGGGGGGGGGGGGGGGGATCTGAGGGGACGTCAGGTGATCAGTGTGGGGGGACTGAGGGGACGTCAGGTGATCAGTGTCAGTCGGGGGGGGACTGAGGGGACGTCAGGTGATCAGTGTCGGGGGGGGACTGAGGTGACGTCAGGTGATCAGTGTGGGGGGGGGACTGAGGTGACGTCAGGTGATCAGTGTTGGGGGGGACTGAGGTGACGTCAGGTGATCAGTGTTGGGGGGGACTGAGGGTGACGTCAGGTGATCAGTGTTGGGGGGGACTGAGAGGACGTCAGGTGATCAGTGTTGGGGGGGACTGAGGGGACGTCAGGTGATCAGTATTGGGGGGGGGACTGAGGGGACGTCAGGTGATCAGTGTTGGGGGGACTGAGGGGACGTCAGGTGATCAGTGAAGGGGACTGGGGGACGTCAGGTGATCAGTGGGGGGGGACTGAGGGGACGTCAGGTGATCAGTGGGGGGGACTGAGGGGACGTCAGGTGATCAGTGTTGGGGGGGGACTGAGGGACGTCAGGTGACCGGGGGGGGGACTGAGGGGACGTCAGGTGATCAGTGTCGGGGGGGACTGAGGGGATGTCAGGTGATTGGTGGGGGGGGACTGAGGGGACATCAGATGGTTGGTGGGGGGGGACATCAGGTGATCGGGGGGGGACTGAGGGAACGTCGGGTGATCGGTGTGGGGGGAGGCTGAGGGGACGTCGGGTGATCGTTGGGGGGGAGGCTGAGGGGACGTCAGGTGATCAGTGTTGGGGGGGGGGGGGGGACTGAGGGGACGTCAGGTGATCAGTGTTGGGGGGGGACTGAGGGGACGTCAGGTGATCAGTGTTGGGGGGGACTGAGGTGACGTCAGGTGATCAGTGTTGGGGGGGACTGAGGTGACGTCAGGTGATCAGTCAGTTGATCAGGTTGGGGGGGACTGAGGGGACGTCAGGTGATCAGTGTTGGGGGGGACTGAGGGGACGTCAGGTGATCAGTGGGGGGGGGACTGAGGGGACGTCAGGTGATCAGTGGGGGGGGACTGAGGGGACGTCAGGTGATCAGTGGGGGGGGACTGAGGGGACGTCAGGTGATCAGTGGGGGGGGACTGAGGGGACGTCAGGTGATCAGTGGGGGGGGGGACTGAGGGGACGTCAGGTGATCAGTGGGGGGGACTGAGGGGACGTCAGGTGATCAGTGTTGGGGGGGGACTGAGGGGACGTCAGGTGACCGGGGATGGTTGTCTGAGGGGGGTCAGGTGATTGGGTCGGGGGGACTGAGGGAACGTCGGGTGATGGTTGGTGGGGGGGGACATCAGGTGATCGGGGGGGGACTGAGGGAACGTCGGGGATCGGTGTGGGGAGGGAGGCTGAGGGGACGTCGGGTGATCGATGCGGGGAGGCTGAGGGGATGTTGGGTGATCGGTGGGGGGAGGCTGAGGGGGGACGTCGGGTGATCGGTGGAGGGAGGCAGAGGGGACGTCGGGGGTGATCGATGCGGGGAGGCTGAGGGGATGTCGGGTGTGATCGGTGGGGGGGAGGCTGAGGGGACGTCGGATGATGGGGTGGGGGAGGCTGAGGGCGTCGGGTGATCGATGTGGGGAGGCTGAGGGGACGTCGGGTGATCGGTGGAGGGAGGCTGGAGGGGACGTCGGGGGGGATCGTTGGGGGAGGCTGAGGGGACGTCGGGTGATCGTTGGGGGGGGAGAGGCTGAGGGGACGTCGGCTGTGATCGTTGGGGGGAGGCTGAGGGGGACGTCGGGTGATCGTTGGGGGCGGCAGGCTGAGGGGACGTCGGGTGGTGAGGTCGCAGGGACAGGGGAGGCTGAGGGGACTCGTCGGATGATCGTGGGGGGAGGCTGAGGGGGACGTCGGGTGATCGGTGGGGGGTAGGCTGAAGGGACGTCGGGGTGTGATCGTGGTAGGGGCTGAGGGGACGTCTCGGGTGATAGGTGGGGGGGGGACTGAGGTGGGACGTCGGGGTGATCGGTGGAGGTCGGTGAGGTGAGTCATTTTTGGGTGTTCGGAGGATGGTGCGGTACCCGGGAAATGAAACATGGGTGGTAGGAGCGGCGTGGACCGGCTTCCGGGTCTCTGTGGGGGAGCCTCTCTCTCTGGTTAGGACAGTGTACAGTCGGTACAGACTGGGTTGGTTGGAGCGGCGGAGGAGGTAGGCGGCGGAGTCTGGGTGGTTCTTTTGGCTCCTTGTTGCGGCGGAGTCCTGGGATCGGTAGGGTGGAAGGTCGCAGGGACAGGAGTCTGGGTGGTAGGAGCTGCTCGGGTCGGTAGGAGCGGCGTAGTCTGGGTGGTAGGAGCGGCGGAGTCTCGTCGGTAGGAGCGGCGTAGGCTCGCCAGTAGGAGCGGCGGAGCTCGACCTGGCGGTAGGAGCGTCGGAGTCTGGGTAGGTAGCGGCGTAGTCTCGGGTGGTAGGAGCGGCGTAGGTCGTTGCGGAGTAGGAGCGGCGGAGTCTGGGGAGAGGTAGGAGCGGCGGAGTCTGGGTGGTAGGAGCGGCGGAGTCTGGGTGGTAGGAGCGGCGGAGTCTGGGTGGTAGGAGCGGCGGAGTCTGGGTGGTAGGAGCGGCGGAGTCTAGGGTGGTAGGAGCGGCGGAGTCTGGGTGGTAGGAGCGGCGGAGTCTGGGTGGTAGGAGCGTGGAGTCTGGGTGGTAGGAGCGGCAGGAGTCTGGGTGGTAGGAGTGGCGGAGTCTGGTCGGGTTAGGAGCAACGGAGTCTAGTCGGGTAGGAGCGGCGGAGTGTCGGAGTCGTCGGGTAGGAGCGGCGGAGAGTGTCGTCGGGTAGGAGCGGCGGAGTGTCGTCGGGTAGGAGCGGCGGAGTGTCGTCGGGTAGGAGCGGCGGACGCTCGGCGGGTAGGAGGACGGCGGACCTCGGGTAGGAGGACGTGTGCGGAGTGCCGGGGGTTTCCATCTCTATCTCTGAGAACAACAACCGGCAGACGTTGGTTTTTTGGATCGGAGTTCCATCAGTAAGGTGTCTTCTCGGAAGCCATTGCTGGGTGACACCCAGGGTCGCGGTGTCTGTCCGGGAGGCTGGTAGGGGGGGCTTTAGGGGCACATCTGATTGGTGGGCGATATTACCGTCATTGCCGTCTGCTTCTAATCTCATGACGTCTGTGGAGACTGAAGATTGGCCGGTGCCGTCCCTGGCTGTGTCCTTGTGAGGTCCCATTTTCCAGTCGGTGTTATCTGTTCCCATGGCAGGCAGATATCCCGTCATCCTGAGCTTTGTGCCATTTCTGTGGTCTGGGTGACGGAGAGCCCCTCGGCCGCATTTCCAAATATCGCCATCAAATGTTTAACTCCCACCCTGCTGGAGACCAACCTGCCCACAAAGAGAGATTTTATAATGGGCACAGCAGATGTACAGATTCGGGAACTCAGCACAGGGATGGTGGGAACCCCTCATCATGGGCACAGTGGGTGTTCTGGTGCAGCTGTTCATGGGAGCCAATCAGCTTCTAACTTTGGCTTGCTCTATTAAGCTTTGAAAATAAAACCTGGAAGCTGATTGGTTTCTCTGTAGAGCTGCACCAGATTCCGGATTGTTTTAGTCCCCCCCCCCCCCCCGTAGTGTCTCCTCTGTTGCTCTTCCCAATATTCTGCTTTATCGCCATTCTCTAAGATAAGGGATTTCCTCTCTCAGATCTTTACTGCTACGATTGTAATTAGAAATTGTCCTTGTTCACATTAACGTTTGATGGGTGTTAAAACTCTGCCGTTGAGCCACAACTTTACTGCCTCCCTCTGCTGACCTCTTGAGCGATAGAGGTTACTGCAGGCATGGTGCCCCCTGTTGTTTCTGGCAGGCAATAGCACATGACGAGCGCAGCCCATTCAAGTGAACAGGCCGCCTCTGCAAGTGACTCACTTTTTTTTTTTTTTTGCATGCTGTGTCAAGGGGTTAAAACGGGTGACGCGGAGGTGATGAAATCCCTCCCCACCACCTGTTGAAGAGCGATCCGGACTTGGATTGCTCTTCAGATGCCAAAGCTAGTGTGGTGAAGCCCCTAGGGCCTGTTTGCCCCAGTCTGTGCTCACTATGCTGCTGTGCTCCATGGAACGTCTGGGGTGTGAAGGGCAGCGTGCTACGTCCTATATATCCTTTGCATGGGCTACTGTGGTTTGTTTTTTTTTTCTCTTTATTGAAAAGGTACAAAATGACAGTTCAGTTTTATGCAGCCCAGTGTGATGTGCGTAGAAATGCAGGCTCGCTGGACAGGGATGGGAATGGTTTTCTGTGCATCCTTGTAGTGCGTCCATCGCAGGTGGGGGGGGCATGGTGCGAATGAGCCCTGAGCTCCACATCTTGCGTCGGTTTTGCGGGGGCTCCTGGTGCTGATGAAATGCCCGGTGTGACGGGTGCTGAGAATTGTTGGGGGCAGGGTGAACCATGTGGACGTGCTGGCTGTTATGTCTTGGTAGGTGCGCCCATATCCGCAAAATGCGTCAGGATGAGGAGCGCCCCCTGTATGTGGAGGAGGATTGGTGACGGCAGCTCTTCTCTTTGTAGATCTGCAATGCGTTGTTTCTTTGTACTCGGCAGGTCAGTGACGGACCCCCGCGATGGCAAACGAGTCGCCCTCAAGAAGATGCCAAATGTCTTCCAGAACCTGGTGTCCTGCAAACGAGTCTTCAGGGAGCTGAAAATGCTCTGCTTCTTCAAACACGACAATGTAAGGAGCGGGCACTGCCAACCTGGGGGGGGGGGTTAGTGCCAGGCTGGGTGTGTAGGTGAGGGTGGCATTGTCAGCCTTTGGCCATTGGCTCCCGCTGCTGTCAATCAAATCCTGAGAGCAGGGGGTGGGGCTGACCCCACTGTGTGCGTGTATAGACGTGCATCGGGTGGGTGGGGGGGGGTTTTTAGTGCCAGGCTGGGTGTGTAGGTGAGGGTGGCATTGCCAGCCTTTGTCCATTGGCTCCCGCTGTTGTCAAACAAATCCTGAGAGCAGGGGGCGGGGCTGACCCCACTGTGTGCGTCTATAGATGTGCACGGGGTGGGTGGGGGGTTTAGTGCCAGGCTGGGTGTTATGTAGGTAAGGATGGCATTGCCAGCCTTTGTCCATTGGCTCCCGCTGTAGTCAATCAAATCCTGAGAGCAGGGGGTGGGGCTGACCCCACTGTGTGCGTCTATAGACGCGCACGGGGGGAAGTTTAGTGCCAGGCTGGGTGTGTAGGTGAGGATGGCATTGCCAGCCTTTGGCCATTGGCTGCCGCTGTTGTCAATCAAATCCTGAGAGCAGGGGGTGGGGCTGACTCCACCGTGTGCGTCTATAGACACGCACTGGGGGGGGGGGGGGGTTTAGTGCCAGGCTAGGTGAGGATGGCATTGCCAACCTTTGGCCATTGGCTCCCGCTGTTGTCAATGAAATCGTGAGAGCAGTGGGCGGGGCTGATCCCACTGTGTGTCTATAGACGCGCACAGCCTTGCTCGGAAGCGCGCCCACAGGTGTGCCACCCTAGGAAGTGGCTTGCTATGGGGCAGAAACAGAAGAGGAGGAGCCAAGATCGCCAGCGGGGGACCGCAGAACAGGAGGTTTGGGTATTGCACAGAGCAGGTGAGTATAATATGTTTGGTATTGTAGTAATTGCCTTTACAAACACTTTGACCTCGTTTCTGTTTCATGTTGTCATATTGAATAATGGAGACCGGCATGATTGACTACGGTCCGTTCTGTTGTTGTCTAGGTCCTGTCTGCCCTGGATATCCTGCAGCCCCCTCAGATCGACTGCTTCGAAGAGATGTATCCTTTTCATAAAAGACATTCTGGGAAGGCTGGTGTACAATGTGAATGACGTGCGGTGCTTGGCCTCCAGTTGTAGATTCAGAAGGCCGTGTCCCCCCACGCATCGTGCAACTGGCCATTCCGAGGGCCCTGTACTGAGGATCAGTCCATCCACATTTGCTGAAAATGGAGCTACTCTGGAGGTTCATTGGGATTGTGTCCCCTCTATGGTTTCTGGGTCTGTTCCCCACCCGGCTCCACGCTTCTGGGTCTGTTCCCCACCCGGCTCCACGCTTCTGGGTCTGTTCCCCACCCGGCTCCACGGTTCTGGGTCTGTTTCCCACCCGGCTCCACGGTTCTGGGTCTGTTCCCCACCCGGCTCCACGGTTCTGGGTCTGTTCCCCACCCGGCTCCACGGTTCTGGGTCTGTTCCCCACCCGGCTCCACGGTTCTGCCCCCCTCCCACCCCCTTCTCCCCCTCCCTTCTCGGTCTGTTCCCCACCCGGCTCCACGGTTCTGGGTCTGTTCCCCACCCGGCGGCTGCACGGTTCTGGGTCTGTTCCCCACCCGGCTGCACGGTTCTGGGTCTGTTCCCCACCCGGCTGCACGGTTCTGGGTCTGTTCCCCACCCGGCTCCACGGTTCTGGGTCTGTTCCCCACCCGGCTCCACGGTTCTGGGTCTGTTCCCCACCCGGCTCCACGGTTCTGGGTCTGTTCCCCACCCGGCTGCACGGTTCTGGGTCTGTTCCCCACCCCGGCTGCACGGTTCTGGGTCTGTTCCCCACCCGGCTGCACGGTTCTGGGTCTGTTCCCCACCCGGCTGCACGGTTCTGGGTCTGTTCCCCACCCGGCTGCACGGTTCTGGGCCTGTTCCCCACCCGGCTCCACGGTTCTGCGTCTGTTCCCCACCCGGCTCCACGGTTCTGGGTCTGTTCCCCACCCGGCTCCACGGTTCTGGGTCTGTTCCCACCATTCTGGGTGTCCCTGTTTACCTTCTGTGGGGGCCTCTTCATAATGGGCAGAGCAGGTCTGCACACCCAGGAACTCCACATACAGATCTTACCTGTAGAGTCCCTGAGAATTAGATGGTCTAACTCTCCTTCTAGGGAACTCTGAAATTGGTTCTGGGTGGTACTTACAGTGGATATGAAAAGTCTTCACTCCCCTGTTAAAATGTCAGGTGTCTGTGATGTAAAAAAAATCAGACAAAGATAAATCATTTCAGAACATTTTCCACCTTTAATGTGACCTATAAACTTACAACTCAATTGAACAACAAACTGAAATCTTATAAGGGGGGGGAAGTAAACATAAACAACTAAAATAATGTGATTGCATAAGTGTGCACACCCTCTTATAACTGGGGATGTCAATGTAATCAGAATTAAGCAATCACATTCACAATCGTGGTAATTAGGAGTCAGTACACACCCGCCATCATTTAAAGTGCCTCAGATTAACCCCAAATAAAGTTCAGCTGTTCTAGTCGGTATTTCCTGCCATTTTCTTAGTCGCGTCCTCCAGCAAAAGCCATGGTCTGCAGAGAGCTTCCAAAGCATCAGAGGGATCTCATTGTTAAAAGGTATCAGTCAGGAGAAGGGTGCAAAAGAATTTCCAAGGCATTAGATATACCATGTTGCACAGTGAAGACCATCATCATCAAGTGGAGAAAATATGGCGCAACGGTGACGTCACCGAGAAACTGGATGTCCCTCCAAAATTGGTGAAAGTATGAGAAGAAAACTGGTCTGGGAGGCGGCCAAGAGGCCTACAGCAACATTAACCCCCCTGGCGGTATTCCCGAGTGTAGCTCGGCGTAAAGTTTCAGCACCACAAGTGGTAACCCCCCCGAGCTACACTCGGGAATACACTGCAGCGCTACTCCGGGATCTCTTCTGCACTTACCTTGTCCTGCACTCCCTCCGCGATGTCCCTCCTGCAGTGTCCCCAGCAATGTCCTCCGGCCGATTTCGTCATCTGTCTCCGGGTTCAGTTCCCTGCGACGTCAGGACGTACGGGGACGGAACTGGCGGGAAATTTAAAAATGTTAAAAAGTGACATTCACTAAAATCACATAGTATAACATTCCTGTATCAAACCATTTCACATACATTTTGTCCCGAGTGCTTTGTCCGGCGCCCTGCCTGCATTTTTACTGTTCTTTCTGCCTGGAAACTGAGAAACGTCCATGGCGTCCAAAAAGCGTCCCTTTAGGTCAGACGTGGTTTTAGACCGGCTAGAGAACAGCGATAGTAAATCAGAACCACTTGCAGAATTGAGTGATAATGATTTGTGGGGGAAATTCCTCATCAGACACTGAAAACAATTCTGCAACTTTGCTCAGTGATGTGCGAACTTGGCGCTATATTTCACATTTCAGTGTTTTTGGTTTGATTACATTATTGAATTACATTTATTATTACTATTTTTATGATTATTAAATTATAATTTATGATTTTGTGTTTCAAAGTTTATCATCCCCGAGATGTTTACTAGACTCTTATTCAGACAGATTTCAGAGAGTTATTCCTAAGAATTACAGGCCTACAATAAAAAAACAATATATTTCCATGCAAAAAAATGTACCGCTTTGAACACAGAAATATTGACATAATCAGACCGCTAGGGAGGTTAAAGGAGCTGCAGGAAGATCTGGCAAGTACTGGCTGTGTGGTCCATGTGACAACAATCTCCCCCATATTCTTCATATGTCTGGGCTATGGGGTAGAGTGGCAAGACATCCATGTCCGGCTAAATTTTGCAAAAACACATCTGAAGTCTTCCAAAAGCATGTGGGAAAATGTGTTCTGGTCTGATGAAACCAAGGGTGAACTTTTTGGTCATAATTCCAAAAGATATGTTTGGCGCAAAGACAACACTGCACATCACCAAAAGCACACCATACCCACCGTGAAGCATGGTGGTGGCACATCATGCTTTGGGGCTGTTTTTCTTCAGCTGGAACTGGGGCCTTAGTCAAGGTAGAGGGAATTATGAACAGTTCCAAATACCGGTCAATATCGGCACAAAACCTTCAGGCTTCTGCTAGAAAGCTGAACATGAAGACGAATTTCATCTTTCAGCATGACAACGACCCAAAGCATACATCCAAATCAACAAAGGAATGGCTTCACCAGAAGAAGATGAAAGTTTTGGAATGGCTCAGTGTAACGGAACCGTCCCAGTCTGCACTTGGGTATTTCCGTTATAATACCGCTTCCCTGTCGGAACACCGACCACGGACCCCACAGCCAACCATACAAGACTAGACGAGACCAGTCTTACAATAAATCAGGAAATAGACTCCTTTATGTTATCGCAGATACAAGATATATACATTCAAGGGAACATTCCCCCCTTCCTGCATAATGACACAAGGCGGGGCAATCTACATCTAGCAACAAGAGACTCATCAGAAGACACTCCCCACCAAGCCAATACACATAAACACATACATCCCATAATAGTTTGCTCCCAAGCAAGACACACAATAGAACAATGGGATGCAACCATATGGCATTAAACAATCCACAACCCCCCACCCCAATACTAGGACAGATCACCCTGTACCCCTAACAGGCACAGGGTGACTTACACATAAGAGGGATATGGGGAGCTGAGACGGGTCTCCCCACCTCTCCAAAGTGAGCTGTGTTCCATGGGCCCCCCCACCCAAAGTCACTCCCATCACACTCAGCCAGAGCCCAGACATGAATCCCATGGAAAATCTGTGGGGTGATCCGAAGAGGGCTGTGCACAGGAGACACCCTCGCAATCTGGCAGATTTGGAGTGTTTTTGCAAGGAAGAGCGGGCAAATATCGCCAAGTCAAGATGTGCCATGCTGATAGACTCCTCCCCAAAAGATCGAGTGCTGGAATCGCATCAAAAGGGGCTTCAATAAAGGATTAGTGTTAGGGTGTGCACACTTTTGCAGCCACATTAGTTTAGTTTTTTATTCTTACTTCCCTCCACCTAAAAGATTTCTGTTTGTTCTTCAACTGAGTTGTACAGTTTATAGGTCACATTTTATTTTTGTCTCATTGTTTTATATCACAGAAATGTGACATTTTAAGAGGATGTTTAGACTTTTTATATCCACTGTATGTTCTTTATTTGTTATAGTTCTACGACGTATCCCCCACCACACAACTCAGTCGGAGGTTTCTGGAAAAGGGATTCTTCAAGAAAGCTGCATCTGCTGTGCTGACGCTTTAGCTAACCCATATTCCTTGGAGAATCCTTTGCCATGTACTACTTAATTGTGAAAAGGTTATTTTGATGTATAATTACACATTCTGTATGTTGTAGATTTAGACATTTTTTTTAAAATAATTTTTTGAAGATTTACTTGGAATCGGCCAACAAAGCTAAAGTCAGTTGTAGTTCACACAGTACAGCATATCAATAACCAAGAAAGGATACAATCCAACCAACTAGCCAAAGCTTACAATTAGACCAAATTTACAAGTTACATTCTAACACATGAAGGTGCTTTTATCTGAACCATTCCATTGGAGCTCTGGCTGGATGTTTCGGGTCGTTGTCCTGCTGGAAGGGGAACCTCCGCCCCGGTGTCAAGTCTTCTGCAGACTGCAACAGGTTTTCTTCTAAGATTGCCCTGTATTTGGCTCCATCCATCTTCCCATCAACTCTGCCCAGCTTCCCTGTCCCTGCTGAAGAAAAGCCTCCCCACCAAATGATGCTGCCACCACCATGTTTCACGGTGGGGATGGTGTGTTCAGGGGGAAGTGCAGTGTTAGTTTTCCCCCACACATAGCGTTTTGCTTTTAGGCCGTAAAGTTCCATTTTGGTCTCCTCTGACCAGAGCCCCTTCTTCCACATGTTTGCTGTGTCCCCCACATGGCTTCTCACAAACTGCAAACGGGACTTCTTATGGCTTTCCTCCAACAATGGCTTTCTTCTTGTCACTCTTCCATAAAGGTCAGATTTGTGGAGTCCATGACTAATAGTTGTCCTGTGGACAGATTCCCCCACCTGAGCTGTGGATCTCTGCTGCTCCTCCAGAGTTCCCATGGACCTCTTGGCTGCTTCTCTGATGAATGCTCTCCTTGCCGGCCTGTCAGTTTAGGTGGACGGCCATGTCTTGGTAGGTTGGCAGTTGTGCCATACTCTTTCCATTTTCGGATGATGGATTGAACAGTGCTCCGCGAGATGGTCAAAGCTTTGGATGTTTTTGTATAACCTAACCCTGCTTTAAATTTCTCCACAACTTTATCCCTGACCCGTCTGGTGTGTTCCTTGGCCTTCATGATGCTGTTTGTCCACTAATGTTCTCTAACAAACCTCTGAGGGCTTCACAGAACAGCTGGATTTGTACTGAGATCACATGACACACAGGGGGACTCTATTTACTAATTAGGTGACTTCTGAAGGCAATTGGTTCCACTAGATTTTAGTTAGGGGTATCAGAGTAAAGGGGGCTGAATAAAAATGCACGCCACACTTTTCAGATATGTATTTGTAAAAAAATGTTGAAACCCATTTCTCATTTTCCTTCCACTTCACAATTATGTGCCACTTTGTGTTGGTCTATCACATCCAATCCCAATAAAATACATTGTAACATGACAACATGGGGGACATTTCAAGGGGTATGAATACTTTTTCAAGGTGTGTGTATGTATGTCTATATATGTATCTATATATTAGTGTGCATGTATATATTACACCTTGTGTGTGTTTATCCACAGTATGAACCCAACTGGAATTACATGTGTCATGCATCAATTAGTAGTTCTAGTAACAAAACCTCTACAGGAGACACCTATGAAAAAAATGAGCTTCTGGTAAAACTCAGGTAGACAAACCTAAATAAAAACAATCTGGGTTACTTACTAAATCTGGTGCAGCTGTGCATAGAAACCTATCGGCCTCCCTGATTTATTGTCAAAGCTTAATTGAACAAAAGCTGAACGTGGTCCTGGGTTTGGTAACACTTTAATCGCCTCCCGCCCGCCATATAAGGCAATGACGGGCGCAAGGCGGTTCTCTCGTTCTGGGAGGAGTCCTATGACGTCCTCCCGCTCTAACCGCACATGCTTGGCTCCGGGAGCGCACGGCGATCGGTGGTGCGCTGTGTCCCTCAGACACAGCGGATCACCGATCAACGGAAAGAACCGAAGATGTGGGCTTGGTCATGTGATCAGCTGTGTCCAATCACAGCTGATCACATGTAAATAGGGAAATGCCGGTTATCTGCATTTCTCTGCTCAGGAGCTGACAGCTGGAGAGGAGAGCCAGTAATCGGCATTCCTCGGAGGGGACATGTACACTGATCATTAGGGCACTGATGATCAGTGTAACCCCAGCAGTGCCACCTGTCAGTGCCCATCAATACCAGCTGTCATTGTCCATCAATGCCACCTGCCAGTGCCTCATCAATGCCACATATCAGTGCCTACCAGTACACATCAATGCCACATATCAGTGCCTACCAGTGCACATCAATGCCACATATCAGTGCCCATCTGAGCTGCCTTTCAATGTCACCTATCAGTGCCACCTATCAGTGCCAGTGAGTGCCACCTATCAATGCCAGTCAGTGCCACCTAACAGTTCCAGTGAGTGCCGCCTATCAGTGCCATATATCAGTGCTGCCTTTCAGTGCCCATCAGTGATGCCTGTCAATGCCCATCAGTGCCACCTACTAGTGTCTCCTCATCAGTGCCCATCACTGCAGCCTCATTAGCGCACATCAGTGAAGGAGAAAAAATCATTTACTTACAAAATGTTATAACAAAAATTAACAAAAAATTTTTTTAAAAAAAACTTTCAGTTTTTGGTTTGTTTAGCAAAAAAAAAAAAAACCCTGAGGTGATTAAATACCCCCAAAAGAAAGCTCTATCTGTCTCAAAAAAATGCTAAAAATTTCATATGGGTACAGTGTTGCATGACTGCGCAATTGTCATTCAAAGTGCGACAGCGCTGAAAACTGGCCTGGGCAGGCAGGGGGGTATAAGTGCCCTGCAGGCGAGGGGTTATAGGCTCCTGTATCACAAATCCTCATACTGACAGAAGTGTGTGTCGTATACTGGAATGTCCATGAGAGTTATACTATTGGGGGGAGGGGACGCACTGAAAATGAATAGGCTATTTCTGTGCCACAATTACCTTAAATATTCCAGCGTAGGACCTTCCGGGCGTTGGAGATGATGATTTGGATTTGCAGCGGGGGGTTTATATTGGGTTGGACCTTCTTTTTGCATTCTAGGTAAAAATATTACAGAAATGTTCTTAAAGTGGAATTCCGGATATACACCGTAAAGCTGTCCTTTCCACCCTCCTGACACCTATGCTAACGAACCTGTGTAAGAAAGATGTACAGTGAAGGAAATGCGTATTTGCTCCCCGGCTGATGTTGAATGTTCGCCCCTCACACAGAAATGATCGGTCTAACAATGGAATGTTCGGTGTAACACTGAGAGACAGAATACAACAACAAATTCAGCAGAAATGATGACTGATCTGCATGTTCATGAGGGAAAGAAGGATTTGATCCCCTTCACAAAACATGACTTAGTACTTGGTGGCAAATCCCTTGTTGGCAATCACAGAGGTCAGACGTTTCCTGGAGTTGGCCCCCAGGTTCGCACACATCTCAGGAGGGATTTTGGCCCACTCCCCTGTGTCAGCCAGCAGCGGCTGCAGGGGAGAGAAGGGAATGCCAACATCGGATGGGCCATTGAAGCCTATGGGTGACGTCACTGCTCCAGTCTTTACCAGTCGAGCACGGTCTATGCCTCTGGCTGACAAAGGGGATCATGTGACCAGATGGCCTGAAAATAGGTCAGTATATACACAGGTTAGGTGTAAGCTAGAATACCAAGTTATCCTCTTCACACCGGCCGCACGCAAATGTGCGGCCTCCCGGGGTCTGGGCCTAGACGCCGAGCGGCCCGCGCATTTGCGTTCTATTAAAAAAGGACATGTGCCGGAGCTCGCACTCCCAGCACACATGTCCGGTACTCACGAAAAGGTCCCGATCTCCTCTTTCGATCGGGACCTTTCCCGATCATGTGACCGCCGTGGCGTGGCATCATGGTGGTCACATGACTCTAAACCCCGGCCCGCTTCCTGGCTTCTGAAACCCTTAAAGGGCCGGGAGGCTCCGGCGTGAAGGGGTTAAAGTGAATACGTCATGAAACAAAATACCTGTGTGAGAAGGCCTAGATGGAGGCGGTGTACTGTTTTGGGGGCAGTGCCATTGAATTTTTAGTGTTGCCGCCCCAGAGTGCGTTTGTGTTGCTCCTTCATCCATTCGTTATGATCTTTCACTTTTGGGCCTCATCAGATATGTGATCACAGAGCTGATGCAGACTGACCTGCACAAGGTGATCGTGTCCCCGCAGCCGCTCAGCGCCGACCATATCAAGGTCTTCCTGTACCAGATTCTACGAGGTGAGCACACGGCCTGGACCCCGGAGGCCGGAATGGGGTTTATTCCTGGTATACCGGGGTTATGCTGATATACAGGCACAGCTGTGAGTCCTGCTTCCCTTCATTTCCTGTCCATAACTTGGGTTCCACAGAGTCGGGAAGTGAGGGCGAATCTTTTCAGTAGGGACTCAGACTACAATCAAAAGACACTCTATCCAAAAGAAGAAAAAAAGGTTTGACTTGAGTCAGGCTTTATAGGCATTCATGTATTTGAACCATTAGCCCTGGTTCACAGTGAATCTGATTTTGAAATTAGGGGCAGCATAGTGGCTAAAGGGTTAGCACTTCCCCCTGGCAGTACTAGGGTCGTTGGTTCAAATCCCAACTCCACCTGCCTGGAGTTTGCATGTTCTCCCTGTGCCTTTGTGGGTTTCCTCCAGGTGCTCCAGTTTTCTCCCACACTCCAAAGACATGCTGGTAGGTGAATTGGCTCCTATCTATATTATCCCTAGTATGTGTATGTATGAATGTGAGTTAGGGACCTTAGATTGTACACTCCTCGGGGGCGGGGACTGATGTGAATGTACAATATATATGTAAAGTGCGGTGTAAATTGACGGCGCTATATAAGTACCTGAAATAAATATGAATAAATTGCGTGACTTCACTGCCGCAGGTCAGTGTGATTTTTAGGTGCTACTTGCATGACTTCATGCATTGATGCGTATGCAAGTTGCACCTGAAATCACAAAAAAAATATTGAAGGAACCTTTTTTTCTAATTGGTGCAAAGTCAGTCGCACCAATTTGAACGGTTCCATTGCTGACAATAGGGTGCGACTTGTCATGTGAGATCGAACTGTCATATTGCATGTGTGTGAACCAGGGCTATTGTAAAGGAAAATACTGTTCAGCTGGTCATGTGACCCCGGCTCTCCTTTCAGACTGCACAGCCATCTTGGTGACCTCCCCTTACCCCACTGCAGTTATACAGTTCGGTCACATACCACCCCTAGCCTGCTGACTGAGCAGTGAAGAGTTGGCTCCCCATTAAGGTCTCCATTCTGTGTGCTTCTCTCCTGTCAGCGCGTGTCTATTGTTAGACTGACAGCATGCTACAATGCCGAAGGGCCCTACATTGCCAGCCCTATCCAGCCCGAGACCTGGTGTACAACAAATGAAGAAGCTAATGTGCCTATAGATTAACCCCCCTGGCGGTATTCCTGAGTGTAGCTCGGGGTTAACTTTAAGTACCAAAAGCGGTGACCCTGAGCTACACTCAGGAATACCCTGCAGCGCTTCTCCAGCGATCCCTCCAGCACTTACCTTGTCCTGCGCTCCCGCGATGTCCCCCCTGCAGTGTCCCCGGCCATCTCCTCCGGCTGATGCCGGCATCCATCTTCTAGGTTCCGTTCCCTGCGATGTCAGGACGTACGGGGGACGGAACCGGAGGGAAATGAAAAGATGTGACATTCACTAAATTCACTAAAATCACATAGTATAACATTCCTGTATCAAACCATTTCACATACATTTTGTCCCGAGTGCTTTGTCCGGCGCCCTGCCTGCATTATTACTGTTCTTTCTGCCTGGAAACTGAGAAACGTCCATGGCGTCCAAAAAGCGTCCCTTTAGGTCAAAAGCGGTTTTAGACCGGCTAGAGAACAGCGATAGTAAATCAGAACCACTTGCAGAATTGAGTGATAATGATTGGTGGGGGAAATTCCTCATCAGACACTGAAAACGACTCTGCGACTGAGCTCAGCGATGTGCGAACTTGGCGCTCTATTTCACATTTCAGTGTTTTTGGTTTGATTATATTATTGAATTAAATTTATTATTTTTTATGATTATTTGTTATATTATAATTTATGATTTCGTGTTTCAAATTTTATCATACCCGGGATGTTTACTAGACTCTTGTTCGGACAGATTTCAGTGAGTTATTCCTAAAAATTACAGGTCTACAATAAAAAAACAACATATTTCCATTGAAAACAATGTACCGCTTTGAGCACAGAAATACTGACATCATCAGACCGCTGGGGAGGTTAATGGGCTTACCCCACCTTTATCTTATGCATTGCGTTATATTTCACTGATCACATTGGTGAATTTTAGCTTTAATTCTGTTTCTGAAGAGTGATGGGCGGGAGAAAAATAAAGGGGTGACCACTTTAGACCAACCGTAACAATTTTCTGGCAGTTAACCGTCAGAGGAGTTGCTGTGGACCTCTTGAACTGACATTTAACCCTTTTGTCCCTGCAGGGCTGAAGTACTTACACTCCGCTGGGATCCTGCACAGAGACATCAAGCCGGGGAACTTACTGGTCAACAGCAACTGCGTGCTCAAGGTGCCATTTCTGATTTCTTCCCACCGTCAGGCTGTGGGGTAGACGGAGCTGTCATAGGAGAGGTGCCCAGTGCACTGTGTTCTGTGTTGTGACAGGTTGATGGGCAGCAGGGCTGTGGTATGAATAGACGCACGCTCTTCTATGTCAGTTTTTAGGCCAACTTAGAGATTTGCTACTTTTTTTTTTAATTATTATTTTTATTATTAAACCATCCCTGCTCTGAAATCCTGGGTCTGCACATCTGCTGTGCCCAATATAGAGGGTTCCAACTATCCCCACAATGAGCTGTAGGATCTTTACATGTTCTATGCCCTTCATCAGCCCTTTTCTCCCCAGCCTGACAGTCCCTGGCCTACCCCTTTCATTGGATTTCAGTTCTTTGATCATGAGGGCTCAGTTTCGCATGCGGGCGTTGCCTAGGATAGTCTGTATGCAAATACAGCCTGCCCCAGGGAACGCCCGCGGCTCCAGACTAGAATCTGCCCATTGAGACATTTTGACATTTGCATTCCTCTTCCCAATAGCCAGCCCACTGCTTGCTACTGAGGCAGGGTGCGGTGATCATTTTGAGCAGCTATGTACAGCCCCCCTTCAGCCCTTCCCACCAGCCATGATTCGCCTGCATTGCCTAGAGAAGTACAGAGTCGAATGATGATATCAGTGCGTCCTAAATAAGATACACTGCTAAAAAAAAAAAAAAATATGAAAGGAACACTTTGGAAACCCATCAGATCTTAATGGGGACAAATCTCCTAATGGATCTCTACTGACTTGGACTGGGTGAGGTGTTAGGAACGTAAGGACGCCCCATGGTTTGATGGAAATGATCGACCTACAGAATAAAAGATAAATAAATAAATATTAAAAAAGAAAAAAAATAAAGAAAAATACCTAGATTAAGGTTTGGTCCAGTTCAGTGCCAGGGTTAGTGTTTAGGTCAAGGTTAGGGTCAAAGGTCAGGATTTAAAAAAAAAAATTGGTATTAGTCAGTCAATGTCAGCGTGTTTTAGGTTAAAAAAAGACAAAAACAAAATGCGCACTATTGTTTCTGGGCTGTACTACGGGTACAAATAACAAATAACACACACATATATGGTATCGCTGCGATCATCAGGAGCTGTAGAATTTATTTTGGGATGTTCTCTGCTGGTAGGTTATGGTAGTAACAAGAAAAACACACAGCTAAATAAAAAAATTTTTTTTTTTTTTTTACTATTTTGGGCCAGTTTTCCTTTAATAATAAAAACAGGAGATATCCGTTACCATTTACCACCAAATGAAAGCCCAATTTGTCCTCAAAAAATCAAGGTACATCAAGACCTGGATGTACAAAGTAGTTGTGATGATATGTACGGTTTTACTATCACATGTCAACGTTGCATAATTGTGCTTAGGCATTTAGATTTGTTTTACCCTTAGGTGTGAAGGGGTTAAGAAGGTGCAATCGGGAAGGTGACTCAGATACTCCCAATAAGGCGTAAATTCGGTGTCGTGCAGGAAATAATAAAATTGCGCACTCACCAGATGCGCAATTATTAATCAAACCAGAGTTCCCCTCTGTCCTGGAAAAGATGCAGCTCGCAATGGATAAGCTTTCCCTCTGTAGTGGGATGACGCCTCTAAAGGTCTTCTCAAATTGTGGGCTGCGGTAGGGTCAGCGATTAAATCACTTTCCTCTGGGCCTTAGGGTTGGTCACCAATGGATCCTGGGAGATTAGATGCTCGGTTTGGAGCAAAGAATAGTAGTAGCTGAAAATTGTTGCAAAACTCTAATACAAAAACGCAACGTTCTACAGCTAATGTTACTGTTTTTTTTATAACGTCCAGTTTGCATGAGGCCTGCCTGATGGGTCTGTTTATTCTTCAAAGTAACTGCCCCAGAGCTCAGCTCCATCCACACAGCTCACCTGTCTCTAATCTGCCTGCTTTCCCTCCTTGGCTCTGCACAGATCTGTGACTTCGGTTTGGCTCGGGTAGAGGAACCTGACGAGTCTCAGCACATGACCCAGGAAGTGGTGACCCAGTACTATCGGGCCCCGGAGATCCTCATGGGAAGCCGGCATTACCAAAACGCCATCGACATCTGGTCTGTGGGCTGTATATTTGCTGAGCTGCTGGGGAGGAGAATCCTGTTTCAGGCCCAGAGCCCCATCCAACAGGTATGTGGGGTGCCGCTGTCAGATATCAGCCCTTGTTTATGCCATACAAGACTGTACAATATTCTGTCACTTTTACCCATGCCGCTAATGACCGTACAAAAAAAAACAGGGGCTGCTCTTGTAATTTAAAGTGTTACTAAACCCAGGACCCCACATTCACTATATCCGCTCTCCCCGGACCCCGCATTCACTATATCCGCTCTCCCCGGACCCCACATTCACTATATCCGCTCTCCCCGGACCCCGCATTCACTATATCCGCTCTCCCCGGACCCCGCATTCACTATATCCGCTCTCCCTGGACCCCACATTCACTATATCCGCTCTCCCTGGACCCCACATTCACTATATCTGCTCTCCCCCGGACCCTGCATTCACTATATCTGCTCTCCCCAGACCCCACATTCACTATATCCGCTCTCCCCGGACCCCACATTCACTATATCTGCTCTCCCCGGACCCCACATTCACTATATCCGCTCTCCCCGGACCCCGCATTCACTATATCCGCTCTCCCCGGACCCTGCATTCACTATATCTGATCTCCCCGGACCCCACATTCACTATATCCGCTCTCCCCGGACCCCACATTCCCTATATCCGCTCTCCCCGGACCCCACATTCACTATATCCGCTCTCCCCGGACCCCGCATTCACTATATCCGCTCTCCCCGGACCCCACATTCACTATATCTGCTCTCCCCGGACCCCGCATTCACTATATCCGGTCTCCCCGGACCCTGCATTCACTATATCCACTCTCCCCGGACCCTGCATTCACTATATCCGCTCTCCCCAGACCCCGCATTCACTATATCCGCTCTCCCCGGACCCTGCATTCACTATATCCGCTCTCCCCGGACCCCGCATTCACTATATCCGCTCTCCTCGGACCCCGCATTCACTATATCCGCTCTCCCCAGACCCCGCATTCACTATATCCGCTCTCCTCGGACCCCGCATTCACTATATCCCCTCTCCCCGGACCCCGCATTCACTATATCCGCTCTCCCCGGACCCTACATTCACTATATCTGCTCTCCCCGGACCCGGAATTCATTATATCCGGTCTCCCTGGACCCTGCATTAACTATATCCGCTCTTCCCGGACCCTGCATTCACTATATCCTCTCTCCCCGGACCCCGCATTCACTATATCCGCTCTCCCCGGACCCTGCATTCACCCGGTCTCCCCGACCCCGCATTCACTATATCCGGTCTCCCCGGACCCCGCATTCACTATATCCGCTCTCCCCGGACCCCGCATTCACTATATCAGGTCTCCCCGGACCCCGCATTCACTATATCCGCTCTCCCCGGACCCCGCATTCACTATATCCGCTCTCCCCGGACCCTGCATTCACTATATCCGGTCTCCCCGGACCCCACATTCACTATATCCGCTCTCCCCGGACCCTGCATTCACTACATCCGCTCTCCCCGGACCCTGCATTCACTACATCCGGTCTCCCCGGACCCCGCATTAACTATATCCGCTCTCCCCGGACCCCGCATTCACTATATCCGCTCTCCTCGGACCCGGCATTCACTATATCCGGTCTCCCCGGGACCCGGCATTCACTATATCCGGTCTCCCCGGACCCCGCATTCACTATATCCGCTCTCCCCGGACCCTGCATTCACTATATCCGCTCTCCCCGGACCCCGCATTCACTATATCCGCTCTCCCCGGACCCCGCATTCACTATATCCGCTCTCCCCCCGCATTCGACCCTCTCCCCGGACCCCGCATTCACTATATCCGCTCTCCCCGGACCCTGCATTCACTATATCCACTCTCCCCCGACCCTGCATTCACTATATCCACTCTCCCTGGACCCTGCATTCACTATATCCGCTCTCCCGGGACCCTGCATTCACTATATCCTCTCTCCCCGGACCCTGCATTCACTATATCCACTCTCCCTGGACCCTGCATTCACTATATCCGCTCTCCCGGGACCCTGCATTCACTATATCTGCTCTCCCCGGACCCTGCATTCACTATATCCTCTCTCCCCCGACCCTGCATTCACTATATCCGCTCTCCCCGCAGTCACTGTATCCTTCTCCTATCTCTCCCCAGCTGGACCTGATCACAGACCTCCTGGGAACGCCGCCTCTTACTGCCATGCGGTCAGCCTGCGAGGGAGCCAGAGCCCACATCCTACGTGGCCCCCACAAGCCGGTAAGTTTATCAAATAGGAAGCCTCATAAATGAATAACAGCAGAGTCTGATGGGAGCGTTGGCAATAGCACCCAATCCAATACTGCTGTCCTTTTTTTGTTTTTTTATTCCTGTGCCGAAAAGTAGCAGTTGGAACCTGGTTGCTTCAACATTCCTTCCATTCTGTTTTTGCAGCAAATAGGAGGCTCATGTTGGAGCATTATAGAAACCGAACTGTTTTAATTCTGTCGCAGTGACAGAATTTTGTGTGATACATTAATGTGGACGCTGACAGTGGAAATGTTACTTTTAGGGCCATTTCACACCACAAAAATACATTCCGGATGTTTTCCAGATACATTTTTGCTCACAGTTCACACCACACTCCGTTTCCAGTAGGGATGCACCGACATTTCGCCCACTGAAACATACCAGCCGAAAACAGCTTTATCGGCAATTTAGCCGATACAGGAGACTGTGTGTTCTGCTATATGTCAGGCTGTCCGGTTTTTAAATGTAATTACCGGCTTTTTTTTTCTTCACTATAGCTGACAGAATCAGTTGTCACTTTTCCTGGAGCTAAAAGAAAGAGTTTCCTTTTAGTTTATTTCCGCAAGTTAAAAGAAACAAAGTTTCCTTTAGCTCCGGGGAAATTGACAGCTAATTCTGTGAGCTATAGTGAAGAAAAAAAAAAAAGCCGGCGATTGCGTTTTAAAAATTGGCACTGACCTATAGTGACAGCCAGTGGGGGAGTCTCTCTGTATCTGCCACTGCTCCCTCACTGTATACACTGCTCCCCTCCTTGCACACACTGCCCCCCCCCCCCCCTCCCCCCCTACAAAGAGGACCTGTCACTCATATGCTATCACATAGGGGAATATTGGTCCCCTATGTAATAGCAATAATATCATAAGTTTAAAATATATATATATATATATATATATATATATATATATATACATGAAAGTAGAAAAAAAATTGGAGCTTCCTCACCCCCACATACGCAGACATTTCGGTTTTCGGCCACATGCATTCTGAATTTTCGGTATCGGTTTCGGCATTTCTGTGTACCACTAGTTCCCAGTTCTACTTTTTTTTTTTTTTTATTCACTGGAAACTGACTGGAACAGATTGTACTGGTGTGCACTAGGGCCATTGGAATACATGGAAAACACTGTGCATGCATTTTTTGATGCAGAAAAAAAACGCAATGAACTGCATCTAGTGTGAAGCAGCCCTTAAGGATGGTTCACACCAGATGCAGTCCAATGCCTTTTTTTTTTTCTACATCAAAAATGCATGCACAGTGTTTTCCATGTATTCCAACGGCCCTAGTGCACACCAGTGCAATCTGTTTCAGTGCGTTCTGGTGCAGAAAAAAAAGTAGAACATGCTGCATTTTTTCTGCACAGAACTGTACTGGAACACAGCAAAATACGCACTGGAACGGAGTGTGGTGGTGTGAAATGTAAGCAAAAACGCATCCGAAACACATCTGGAGCACATTTCTGGCCCTTGGTCGATGAAGTGCTGCATGTCAGTGTGCTTTTACTTGGTGACAGGTCCTCTTTAGCTCAGTGTTCTCCATTGTCTCTCGGCAGCCATCTCTCTCTGTCCTGTATATGCTGTCTGGTGAAGCCACCCATGAAGCTGTTCACCTCCTGTGCCGAATGCTGCTGTTTGATCCGGTGAGTTGTCTTGTGCTCGTCCGCATCTTCCAAGGCATTGTATGTTGGTGGGTGGGGGGCATACTTGGATCTCTGCTTTAATTTTGCATTAACTCTTAATTTTAACCACTTGTGGACTTGTGAGACGTGCACCCCCGAAAATGAGGAAGTATTTTGTACGCCCCGTCCCGTGCTCCCTGCTGACACTTCCCCCACCACTCCTGCCCGGCCCCACATTGTAACATCGCCTGCCTGTTGTTATTACAGGGGATATGTATATTCTTCGTGATAACAATAAAAGTCATAGTGTAAATCATTTGAAAACATTTTTTTTTTTGTTAAAGCACACCTGTGCGTGCATGCAAAAGACAAACGCACATGTCAGTCCTGCATGGGCACAAACAGCGATTGTCCCGCACATGTGGTACTGCAAACATCAGGTCGAGGGCAGGAATTCTAGCACCAGATCTCCTCTACACACACACACTTTATATTGCCCCAAGTATTGGTCGGCCTGCCTTTCCACGCACATGACCTTTAATGGCCCCCCCAGTCTTAGTCCGTAGGGTTCAGTATTGAGTTGGCCCCGACCTTTCCACACACATGACCTTTAATGGCCCCCCGGTCTTAGTCCATAGGGTTCAATATTGAGTTGGCCCCGCCCTTTCCACGCACGCCTTTTAATGGCCCACCCAGTCTTACCGTAGGGTTCAGTATTGAGTTGGCCCCGACCTTTCCACACACATGACCTTTAATGGCCCCCCAGTCTTAGTCCGTAGGGTTCAATATTGAGTTGGCCCCGCCCTTCGCAGCTATAACAGCTTCAATTCTTCTGGGAAGGCCATCCACAAGGTTTAGGAGGGTGTCTATGGGAAGGTTGGACCATTCTTCCAGAAGCACATTTGTCAGGTCAGGCACTGATGTCGGGGGAGGAGGCCTGGCTCGCAGTCTCCGCTCTAATTCATCTCAAAGGTGTTCTATGGGGTTGAGGTCAGGACTCTGTGCAGGACAGTCAAGTTCCTCCACCCCAAACTGGCTCCTCCATGTCTTTATGGACCTTGCTTTGTGCACTGTTGGGCAGTCATGTTGGAACAGGAAGGAGCCATCCCCAAACTCTTCCCACAAAGTTGGGAGCATGAAATTGTCCAAAATGGCTTGGTACGCTGGCACCTTAAGAGTTCCTTTTACTGGAACTAGGGGGCCAAGCCAAATCCCAGAAAAACAACCCCACACCATAATCCCCCCTCCACCAAACTTTACACTTGGCACAATGCAGTCAGGCAAGTTCCGTAATCTTGGCCACAGCCAAACCCAGACATGTCCATCGGATTGCCAGACAGAGAGCCTGATTGGTCACTCCAGAGAACACGTCACCACTGCTCTAGAGTCCAGTGGCGGCGTGCTTTACACCACGGCATCCGACGCTTTGCATTGCACTTGGTGATGTAAGGCTTGGATGCAGCTGCTCGGCCATGGAAACCCATTCCATGAAGCTCTCTACGCACTGTTGTTGGGCTCATCTGAAGACCACACTAAGTTTGGAGGTCTTTAGCTATTGACTCTGCAGACAGTTGGCGACTTCTGCGCACTGTGCGCTTCAGCATGCGCTGACCCCGCCCTGTCATGTGACGTGGCCTACCACTTGGTGGCTGAGTGGCTGTTGTTCCCAGTTGCTTCCACTTTGTTATAATCCCACTAACAGTTGAGCGTGGAATATTTAGTAGCCAGGAAATGTCACGGATGGACTTATTGCACAGGTGACCACCTATCACGGGACCACGCTTGGAGTCACTGAGCTCCTGAGAGCGACCCATTCTTTCACCAATGTTTGTAGAAGCCGTCTGCATGCCTAGGGGCGTGATTGTATACACCTGTGTCCATGGAGGTGATTGGAACACCTGAATCACATGCTATGGAGGGGATTGGAACACCTGAATCACATGATATGGAGGGGATTGGAACACCTGAATCACATGATTTGGAGGGCGGGGCCCAATACTTCTGGCAATATAGTGTATGTATATATATAATCCATAAAAAAAAAATCATAGAAATGAGGAAGCATTGGTTGATTGAAAAAAGGAAATGAAATGTTTTTACTTGTTATCGTAAGCATTGGCATTTTTATAGCTGAATTTGTACGCCCATAGCAGAAATGTAAATCTGTACAGGTGCAAAAGCGGAAACAGGTAAAGAATGTAGGGCTTTCATTTTGTATTTATTTTATTTTGTCTCAGGTACTTATATAGCGCCGTCAATTTAGCAGCACTTTACATATATATTGTACATTCACATCAGTCCCTAACCCTCAAGGGGGTGTACAATCTAAGGTCCATAACTCACATTCATACATACACATACTAGGGACAATTTAGACAGGAGCCAATTAACCTACCAGCATGTCTTTGGAGTGTGGGAGGAAACCCACGCAGGCACAGGGAGAACATGCAAGCTCCAGACAGGTGGTGCTGTGGTTGGGATTTGAACCAACGACCCTAATGCTGCCAGATGGAAGTGCTAACCACTTAGCCATCATGCTGTGTATGCTGTTTTATTTATTTCTTTTTTTATTGTTGGTATGGCACAATCAATATGCTCATAGCAGAAATGTAAATATGTCAATAGGGGGAGTACAGGTGCAAAAAAGCAAGACCTAAAAGGCTTCCATTTGCCACATGGTTTTATTCTAAAATAAAAAAAATATTTTTTTATTTGTTTTATGTTTTTGTTGTCATTTTAATTTTTCATTTTAAGTAAAGAGATTTTGCCAAGTCATCTGGCCCATAGTAGTAATGTCAGTATGCCCCTGGTCCATAAGAGGTGTGCAGGTGGAGAGGCTGAACTGCTCAAAGACCTGTAAGACTTTCATTCGGTTCACTGTTTTAATCCCCAGCTCAGGTTCTTTTATTATAGATGGCCACATATCCTGACCACACAGAATCAGGAAGCCATATTATTAGAGCGTTGCGGTCTTACCACTGATGTCTTCTTGCAGTCAAAGAGGATCTCGGCTAAGGATGCCTTGGCCCACCCCTACCTGGAAGAAGGTCGTCTCCGTTACCACACATGTATGTGTCACTGCTGCTACTCCGTGTCGTCCGGCCGTGTCTACACCGCTGACTTTGAGCCCACGGCCACCGACCGATTCGATGACTCATATGAGAAGAGAGCCTGACTTCCGTCTGGCAGGTCAAAGGTGAGAGACGCTACTGGCTTCTGCTGCGTGGGTTGGGGGGGAGCTGGGGGGTGAGGTCAGAGGTTATCGGGCATAGACTCATGGTAGCTTCATCTTCTGTTCATACAGAGCTGGTTCATCGCTTCATCACAGACCAACAACAGGGAAAACGACCCCCGCTGTGTATAAACCCCCACTCTGCCGCGTTCGTTCAAAACATTTATTAGGTAAGCCGTGCTTCTCTACGCCAAATATGTTTTCACGTCTTGCTTCCAAAATACTAAAGCTAGAATCCGACAGACAACTTGATTTATTTCTTTTCTTTTTTTGTTATGGTTTGTACAACTTTTTACAACAGTTCAAAAGTAGGAAAAAGGGGCAGGTGGGGGGGGGGGCATCTATCAATAAAAAAACCCGAAAAAAACACCCTCTGCACTAAATGTGTGAATCCGTCGTTATCTGAAAGAGAACTATGCCTTCCTATCCTTTACAGTCAAGGAAGCTGCATTTTACTCTGTTCTTCATTGGCCGTGGTGCTGCACATGATCGGCCATGATATCAGCCACGTGATGGCTTAACAGGTCGGTTGAGAGCTGACATAAGCACACTAGAAACTGTAGTATGAAATGCATTGATTACAACGGTTTTGGAAAAAAAAAATCCTCTTGCACATGGGCAGGTGGTAAAAACAGGCGGCTGAGTTTTAATACCGAAGCAGCTGCCATACCCAGTAGTTATGCAACCTGGAGGATGCCAAGATAACATGCAGCAGTACCTGTCAGACTTGTCTGTTAAAATCCAGGGAGGTGTGCCTCCTTAGCCTCAGAGTCAGATCCCATTACTGTGCCCACCACTCAGGCTCCAAGGCAGACTCCATTACTGTGCCCACCACTCAGACTTCGAGGTAGACCCCATTACCGTGCCCACCACTCGGGCTCCGAGGCAGACCCCAGCACTGTGCCCACCACTCGGGCTCCGAGGCAGACCCCAGCACTGTGCCCACCACTTAGGCTCTGAGGCAGACCCCAGCACTGTGCCCACCACTCGGGCTCTGAGGCAGACCCCAGCACTGTGCCCACCACTCAGGCTCCGAGGCAGACCCCAGCACTGTGCCCACCACTCGGGCTCCGAGGCAGACCCCAGCACTGTGCCCACCACTCAGGCTCCGAGGCAGACCCCTGCGCTATGCCACCACTCGGGCTCAGAGCTGGGACCCATTATTGTGACATCACTCAGGTTTAGAGTCAGGACACATTATTGTGACATCATTCAGGCTCAGAGGCAGACCCCCATTACTGTACCCTTTGTCCAGCTCTTCACTTTCTTTGTATTTTTCTTTTAATATCACGTTCAGCTTTAATTTGAGGTTCACATTAGGGGGAGTTCTTGCTCCTGTACTGTGTACATGTATGAATGTCTTCCAAATGTTTTATTTTTTGTTTGTGATGTTGCTCAGAGGCAGAGCCCTATGGTGTGACATTACTCAGGCTCACAGGCAGACCCCATTACTGTACCCTTTGTCCAGCTTTTCACTTTCTTTGTGTCTTTCTTTGCCAGGTCCACGGCATGGCATTCCTCAAAAGTTTCCAAGAAAGAGGAAAGATGAACAGAATCCTCCTAGAGCTCCGGATATTGGGGACGAAGTCTAAGAAACCAGCTCGGCTGTTCTCCGTTCACGGCATGAAGTTACCCGAATGTCCTTCCACTGCTGTACATGAGATAGTCCCAACCCCCCGTTCTCTTGCTCATTCCCTGCCTCTCCCCGTTTAATTTCCTCTTATTCCTCTCTGTTCCGCTTCGTAATGCTCTGGTTAAGGACTATACATCTTTATTTCCAGAATCCTATGCGGTTCTTTACCTTCCTCCCCAATGGGGGGGTGGCAGTGATTGGCCGAGGGACGTCATTACGGATAAAGGACGCTGTAAATATTTTCTATACAGAGATTCCTCTGCCTTGTCCAGCTAACCCCTCCCCTATCACTGCCTCACTGGAGCCTCGCCTACCTTGGATCCACCCCTGACCAATAGCGGGTGTGCTACTCTGTGTAGCATTTATTGTAGTGTTTGATATACACGGCCAAAATCTCACTTCTTTCCAGAGGGGAGGTGTGCTCCGTCTAATGCATCACTTCCTATATGTTGTGCTTTTAACCCTTCCTTTTTTTTTTTGTTTTTTTTGTATTCACTGTACAAAGTATCCTCGTGGTTGTTCAGCCGGTAACTAGGATCCGGGCAAATTAATAGGCTTGGACATTGGTTACCAAAGCTACAGGTCCAGTCCAGAGCAGTGCACTTTGGGAAGGTATTGGTGTTAGAGAATCAGAGGCAACCTGCCCGTGTGTGGGATAGCAGGGCAAGCCTTTGATTGGACCTCCATCCTAATCCCCTCCCCCCTTATTCACTATTTCCAAAATCCTTTTTTTCCCTTTTAGATGGAGAGTGTCCCAATGGACTCTAATAGAATGGCAGTTACAGAGTTGTGACCTTCTTCATTGGCTGGGACCTGAGGATAGCAATACTTGTCTGGCAGTTGGTTCTGGTGGGTTTTTTTTTATGAAGGCTACTAGACCGCAGTTTTAATGATCCTTCCACCTCTGTATGCACAGGGTTGGTTGCTTGACTGGTGTCCAGGCTGCAAAGTGGGCGTGGTTTTTTTCCTCTGTGGCTGACTGCCACCTTGTGCTCATTGGGTAATATATTTTTGAGTTCACAATACCTTGTATCGCTGCTATTCTTGTGGACGGTGGGTGATGGGACAATAGAGGGTTTTAAATCCTGTACAAGGCAGTCAATTACACATCAGATGGTTCAAAATGATTGCCAACTAGTGGACACTAAACAATATTGCAGTGAGGGCATTTCCTCCATATAATGCCATTTTATTGCCTTCAGTGGACACTGAATGGTGCTGAAGAAGAGGGCATCACCTCCTTATAATGCTGTTGAATGCCATCTCATGGACACTGAATGGTCTTGCAGTAGAGGGCATCACCTCCATATAATGCTGTTGAATGCCATCTCATGGACACTGAATGGTCTTGCAGTAGAGGGCATCACCTCCATATAATGCTGTTGAATGCCATCTCATGGACACTGAATGGTCTTGCAGTAGAGGGCATCACCTCCATATAATGCTGTTGAATGCCATCTCATGGATACTGAATGGTCTTGCAGTAGAGGGCATCACCTCCATATAATGCTGTTGAATGCTTCATGGACACCGAATGGTCTTGCAGTAGAGGGCATCACCTCCATAGAATGCTGTTGAATGCCATCTCATGGACGCTGAATGCAGCAGTAGAGGGCATCACCTCCATAGAATGCTGTTGAATGCCATCTCATGGACACTGAATGGTCTTGCAGTAGAGGGCATCACCTCCATAGAATGCTGTTGAATGCCATCTCATGGACACTGAATGGTCTTGCAGTAGAGGGCATCACCTCCATAGAATGCTGTTGAATGCCATCTTATGGACACTGAATGGTCTTGCAGTAGAGGGCATCACCTCCATAGAATGCTGTTGAATGCCATCTCATGGACACCGAATGGTCTTGCAGTAGAGGGCATCACCTCCATAGAATGCTGTTGAATGCCATCTCATGGACACCGAATGGTCTTGCAGTAGAGGGCATCACCTCCATAGAATGCTGTTGAATGCCATCTCATGGACGCTGAATGGTCTTGCAGTAGAGGGCATCACCTCCATAGAATGCTGTTGAATGCCATCTCATGGACGCTGAATGGTCTTGCAGTAGAGGGCATCACCTCCATAGAATGCTGTTGAATGCCATCTCATGGACGCTGAATGGTCTTGCAGTAGAGGGCATCACCTCCATAGAATGCTGTTGAATGCCATCTCATGGACGCTGAATGGTCTTGCAGTAGAGGGCATCACCTCCATAGAATGCTGTTGAATGCCATCTCATGGACGCTGAATGGTCTTGCAGTAGAGGGCATCACCTCCATAGAATGCTGTTGAATGCCATCTCATGGACACTGAATGGTCTTGCAGTAGAGGGCATCACCTCCATAGAATGCTTTGAATGCCATCTCATGGACACTGAATGGTCTTGCAGTAGAGGGCATCACCTCCATATAATGCTGTTGAATGCCATCTCATAGACACTGAATGGTCTTGCAGTAGAGGGCATCACCTCCATAGAATGCTGTTGAATGCCATCTCATGGACACTGAATGGTCTTGCAGTAGAGGGCATCACCTCCTTATAATGCTGTTGATGACCATTTTGTGGACACTAAGTGGCCTTGCAGTAGTGGGCGTTGCCTTCCTAAAGTGCTGTTGTGATTGCTATCTTGTGGACACTCAATGGCAATGAATCCCTATAACAGAAGAACACGATGGGGCTTCTAAAGTGCAGCAGAAAACACATTTTATAATAAGAGTAAATGCCCACTCCCACAAGTTTTAAAGGATAAAATGCATGTCATGTAACCCAAAAACCTTCATTTGTGGTCACAGGCAGTGTGGAAGAACATCCAACTAAGGCATGGAAACCTCTTGAGGCTTGAAAAAGAGGTGTTACTGCCTTGAAACATGTAACCACGCCTCCCACACACCTTCAGAGTCCGACGGCCCTGCTGAGGTTCCCACGCTGTCCAGTCTTTGACCGTTTGGCTTCCATGCCTTAACTTACTCTCTCCACAGCGGATCAAAGGTTTGACAGCGTGGGAACCTGAGCAGTGATGTCAGACTCTGGGGGTGTGTACGGGAGGCATGACTACGCGTTTCAAGGTGGTAACTCCTCTTTCTCCAGCCTGGAAGTTTCCATGCCTTAGCTGGAACTTCTTCCACCCTACCCGGGACCACAGATGACAGCGTTTGGGTTAAGTGACGTGTATTTTTAGTATTCATACTCATATGAGTGGATTTTTACTCCTTTTTTTTTTTTTTCATAATACATTTATTTTATGCTGCACTTAAAATCGCCCTCTTATTTTCTTCAGATATCTCTATATTTGCAGGGGCTACTCTAAGGACTTTGTGGCCATTTTAGGATCATCTTATGGACCTTTTCCTTACTACATTTGGTTGCTGTTACCCTGGGGCATACTAGTGGCTTTGCGCAATGACAATTCCTAGAATGCTAGTGGACACTCGATGACATTGCCTCCCTATAATGCTGTTGGGTTAAAAAAAAAAAGCAAAAATCAGCGATAAGCCCCAGAGGAAACAACTATCCAGGGCCTAAGCCTCCTGTTCAGCTTGAATGGAACTGGACCTGTTCCGTGTCACGGTCCTGGAACTAGTATCTAGTAGTTGGAGTCAGGGGCGGACTGACCATTTACAAACACGGGCCCGGGGTCAGTAGGGGGCCCCATGATATGCCCCTGGTACCTTTTTCATAGGCTTTTTTGAGTTTGGGCAAGGACACAGGGGCCCCATGATCCCCTATTGCCCAGGGGCCCCGTGAGTTGTCAGTCCGCCCCTGGTCAGAGTTCAATCTCCCATCTGGGGCTTTTGTCTACTCGCTGCTGCCATCTTGCGGTTGCTGGTTGGCATTGCAATGAAGCAATTCCTCATGACAACAATTGTTCGTGCAGCTATGTCGCTGCCATCTTGTGGTTGCTGGTTGGCATTGCAATGAAGCAATTCCTCATGACAACAATTGTTCGTGCAGCTATGTCGCTGCCATCTTGTGGTTGCTGGTTGGCAACATTGCAATGAAGCAATTCCTCATGACAACAATTGTTCGTGCAGCTATGTCGCTGCCATCTTGTGGTTGCTGGTTGGCATTGCAATGAAGCAATTCCTCATGACAACAATTGTTCGTGCAGCTATGTCGCTGCCATTTTGCGGTTGCTGGTTGTTGTTGCAATGCAGGATTTTTCTTTTCCCTGCAATATAATGCAGACGTGTGTAGCTGTCTTGTGGACACTGAGTGATACTGCAGCAGAGGATTTTTACTATAAACGACCCACAAGCTGCGGTAGTAAATTGTAGGTGTAGCCGTGTTGCTGCCGTCTTGTGGTCAATGGGTAATAATATTGCAGTTGGGTGGTGGTGGTGGAGGAGGAGGGTGGGGGGGGACTTCTCCCACCAGAATGCAATGTTGAACCCCCTGCACTGCTGGAGGAACCTGTTACAGCCTCCGGTCGAGAACTGGTAGCTTGAAGGGATGCTCCGTCTTGACTGTTTTTTTTTTTTTTTTTTTTTTTTTTTTTTTTGTTTTTTTTCCTCTCCCTATTCTCACCGATTTCTTAACTTATAAACTTGTGTACAGATGTGTATCACGTGTGCTAGGGCGAATGACATATATCACTGTACCTATGGTTTGAAACCCATTCAATAATCTACCTCTTCCATTAAGTGTTTATTTTATTATGATTGTTTGAAACTTGTTAAAATATTGTGTTTTTTTTTTTTGTTTTTTTCCTAAATGTGAAAAACCCGAGTTCCCTGAAAACTTGAATTTAGCATCTACAGGATTTATTTCAAGCCTGTTGGTTGGATCCAGCAGCTTAAATAAACTCTGTCCTGCCTTTTAAACTGGATGTGTTGTGTCGTCTTTTTCAAGAGCCGGCCTTCGCTCGCATGGATCCCGACCCCTGAAAGCCGAACTCCAGGTGGGAAGAATCCAACATTCT